TGGGTACATGTTGTCACACTTGGAGCCATGAGTGCAGGACTGCCATTTGCGATATTAATTGTAATCCAAATATTTGTTTCTTTCACAAGAGTCAGACATTGGATTTCAGTTGAGGCAACTGAAACTTTTGGACAAGGCAATATTGTCGTGGCGGCAGACTTCTTGAAAACACAGAGGAAGAAATGAGCCATTGAAACCCCCCTATTTCCATGGGTTATCATCTTTCCAAAATTAGTAACTTAGAAAGTCTGAAGAAATAGCAAAGAAACCTCCCTGGTCTGTTCTGCTTTCTAGCTGCTAGATCTAATGTAAGCCTCACACTGTTTTCATGAAGTTAAATAGCTTATTGTGAAGAGGGGCTTTTGCACATCTGAATCTCATCTTTAGTTTTTCTTATCACAAAGCTAGGTTTCTTTGCCTTTTTTCGTGGGATAAATCTTGGCTCTGTTAAGGCTCTGCCCTATTCTGGGACCTTCCTGATTCCTGGGTTCCAGGTCCCTCCTGAGATTTGCCCCTCTGCATGCTCAGTAGGTGGGCCCATCTAGACTCAGTCATGGAGCAGTAGGAGGGCGTGAGAGGTCTTAAGTTTCTTCCTAAAGAGATTGATGGTCAGATTCAGCCTGACATAACACCATGCAGTTGTCTGTTACCAGTCATAGAGCTAGAAAAGCCAGGCCCTTACATACAACTTCAGGAAGGTAAGTCAGGAGCATTTTCAGACACAGCTCAACTGCTTCCTTGTCCTTCCCAACCCCCACCCCATTGTTTGTGTTTTTAGAGATGTTTAAGAGAAAAGGAGGCGATAATAAAGACACTCTGCTACTTTTGCTGTGTCTAGAATCCTCATTTATGTGGAAAAGAGGGTCAATTTATCATTGCCCTCAGTATTCCCATGAGAAGAAGACTTTGCGCATCTCCCCAGAGAAGGGAGTGGTCAAGCAAACGCTTCTCCATCCACCGATGGAGGAGAAGCAACCACTTGAAAGGCAAAGTGCCTGAGTCTGTCACTCCTCCTCTAACCGCCTGCCTGGTACGGTGTGTTGCCACACACCTGTGGTCCCTGAAGCAGGCTGCACACATAGACCTGGGGCCAGAACATATGCCTTCCAAGCAATAGATTTGTGAGTGGAAGGCAAGAAAGGGCCTCAGGTCCGTAGTTCACAGGCCCTCACTCAGCTGTTGATAAAGCTGCCATTTGGCTCATGGGTCTTAGAATATGACTCCATTTGTATGAACCTCCAAGGAAAGTGGGGTGAGAGCTTGCGTTCCCCAGGCTCCTGACAATGAATCGCTCCTGGAAAGCTTTGCTTAGATGTTTCTCAGGCACTTCAAACTCAGTCTGCTTTAAAGTGAGCTCCCCCTCACTCCTGTGTTTCCTGTCTTGGCGATTGGCCTCAGTATTCTTGTGGTAGCCCAGGCTGAAGTTCTGGGTGTCAGAGCATGGGAGGCCCTTTGTGAGCTTCCTTTTTTTTTTTTTTTTTTTTTTTGTCATAAGGTCTCACTCTGCTGCCTGGGCTAGAGTGCAGTGGTGTGATCATAGCTCACTGCAACCTCAAACTCCTGGGCTCAAGCCATCCTCCTGCCTCAGCCTCCCGAGTAGCTGGGACTACAGGCATGTACCACCACGCTCAGCTAATTTTTCTATTTTTTATGGAGACAGCATCTCGCTATGTTGCCCACGCTGGCCTAGAACTCCTGGGCTCAAGTTATCCTCCCACCTCAGCCTCCCAGAGTGATAGGATTGCAGCTGTGAGCCACTGCACTCGGACAGAGCCTACTTTTTGAGTCTCCTTTTGCACCATTCTTGTGCATTGCCTCTTTAACTGGTGCATCCTGCTCATCCTCAGGCGTTAGCTGAGACATCTCCTGCTCCCGAGTCTTTGCTGACACACGAGGCTGTGTGCTTCTGTAGTCTCCATGCTTTCCTCCCACGGTCCACTGAAGCACGTTTGCCAGGTCATTTCCCTGCTGCTCCTGCTAGACCTCAGGCTCTTTGTAACCAGGGTCTGTGTCTTGTTCATCCCTGAATACCAGAACTAGCACAGGGCCTGCATGTAGTAGCTGTTCAATAAATATGTCTTGAACAAATAACACTTAGGCCTAAGAGTACCTGAGGCTGTATAATAAGTGGTTACAAGCCTAGCTTTGGAAATTCAGGCCTGAGTTCAGACCCTGCTATTTGCACGACCTTGGGGGAGGTCCTTAACTTCTTGATCTTTGATTTCTTTACCAATAAAATGGGGATAATAACTACTTCCTAGAGCTGTGATGATGAATTGCAATAATCCATGCAAAACCCTTCGAGCAGTGTATGACATAGTAAATGTTGAATGCATCATAGTATCTGTTAACGACGACAGCCACAATAATACAGTTTTCCTTAATGGAAGGGGAAAGGCTATAAGAAATAGTTGGAACTAGAAATCAGGCATGTTGAATGCCTGCATGATGGATTTAGACAAGGTGGGGAGTTGATTGGGATAAAATGTAAGAGCAGATACAATTACCTGGGAGATAATGAACAGGGTGGGAAAAATGGGCAGGGGAAATGAAGACAGAACCTTGAAAAATCCTACGTTTGAGGGATAAAAGGAATCAAAACAGGAAAGAGAGAAAGAATGATTATAAGTAGCAGATTGCAGCTTCTCAGATGCCAGGGATAGGAGTTTTAAGAGGTAGTCAAGGGTCCCATGCTGGGCAGAAGGTTAACAAGGAGAAGACTAGAAAAGGCAGCCAGAATTTGCTAAATGAGAGAATGTTGACACCTTTAGGAACCGGCCGTTTCAGTAGAGTCAGAGGAAGAAGCCACACCCCGTAAGAGGTTAGAGAAGGCCGGATTATGGACAAAGCGGGCACGCTAAGGCAGTCTGTTGTGCTACATTGTGTGATTCTGTAATGTGGATTATTTGTGGGTCAGTAGATGACTGATGTCAGCGTGATGTGGAAGTCACATTGGTTCATAGGTGGGGTTTGCTCTCAGCACGTGAATGTTTTGCATCACTGGCTAATAGCGGCTGAAAGCAAAGTAGTCAAACACAGCAGAAGGTAGCAAGCCTCAAGGAATGGGGGGGCACACAGGACACCCAGTCACCCTATGTTCTTTCATTGGCTGTTCGGTGCCTGCTCTGTCTTGAAGTGCTTTGCAGTTATTCCTTGCTGATCTTTGTGCATTTAGTCATTGATTCCGTACCGCTCAGGACCTCCAACCCTCTGATTACTCCTTCTACCACACTCCCCCTTCCTTTTTAAAGGGAAAGAACCATATTTACTAGAGTGTTTCTTTTTTTTTCCCAAACTGTATCCAGTTTTATTAATGATGCTTTTCATAAACAGTCATGCTATTTCAGGCAGGACACGAGCAGACAGTCGTTAGCAGCACACAACAACTTTCAAACTCCCTTCTTCAGTGGACTAACCAAATCAGAAGGCCACTATAAAACCCAGTGAAGTCTTCATTTGATGCTCTGAACAGGGAAAGGTTAGAGTGAGGGTTGATGTTTTACATTGTGCATGGTTGTTTTTTTTTTTTGGCATATTATGGGGGTACAAGTGTTAAGGTTACATATATTGCCCATGCCCCCCTGCCCCCTCGAGTAAGAGCTTCAACATTTTGCATGTTGTTTAGCAACTTTTCACAAACCAGCCCTGACTTTCAGGAAATGGAAAAATGGCAGCATTTATCTGAAGATCCGCAATCTAGAAGTGGAACCACTGCTTTTTTGAGGAACACCATCTCAGTGGTGTCACTGGAAAGTCCAGGTTGTTTGACATACTGGTAACTAATTTTAGGGGATCAGATCCCAAGAGTTGTCTGGGTTTAAAGGGGATTATGTTTATGCTGAAGGCAGAGAGGGAGTAGATGACATAAAAATGAATTTTAGTTTGTCCATACCATAGGCATCTGTGCCAAGGTGGCTTATGTGTGTCAACATCAGGGAATTCCTCCTCTTGGGAGCCAAGAGGATGACTCACAAAACCAGGAGGGAAAAGTGTTTCCTCCACATCAGTTCAGCTTCGGAAACATTCTATTAGTAACATAATGCCCCTTCCCCCAAAACAATAATGAAGTGTTCTGTGTGCTAACAACATGGCTCAAAAGCAAAGCAAAGCAAAATCCTGCATTTTTATAAAACTTGATAAAAAATAGTATTTCAGACTACACAGTTACCAGAAGTTGCCTTCAGCTTTCTGTACCTGGTCTGTTTTGACGTCCCCATTTTCTGCAGGGCTATTTCCCTCTTTGCCAGTGCTGGCAAGGGAAACCCTTTTCCCCTTGGGTACCTTGTCCCCTTTCTTTGCAGGGACCTTTTTAGGTCTGGGCTCTGGCTTCAGAGGAGCAGGTTTAGCCGACAACCTTGCAGATCTTCTCTGTGTTTGTCCTTCACCTTGGCCAGCACCTTGGCCTTTCTCTTGGGCACAGTGGCAACAGTGGTAGGACGTGGTTGCTGGCCATGGGGATGCAGTGGCATGGGGGCTGTGGTCGGTCCTGGTGATTGTTCTTGCCTCTTCTTGTTCATGCTGCTCTTTTTTTTTTTTTTTTTGATTTTTTTTTTTTGAACATGCTGCTCTTAGAGTGTTTCTTTGTTAGGAATTTGACCTTTTAAAAATTTTTTCAGTGTTTTTTAATGATGATTGTTTTTTTAGTGCTTGAGTTACAAATCTTAATTTCTTTTCCAAGCCTATTTTTCTGATAAGCCCTGCTATTTTTAGAGTTTGATCTTATGAAACATGAGGATTTTTAGCAATATGTATGTCCAGTTATAGGAGAAATTCCCATGATTCCTTTTCTAAGGTTGAACAATACTGGAAGTGCGGGGGGCGGGGGGATAGAGTCTATGGAAGGTTTTTCCCAAGGACCAGCAGACCTAACCACTCTTGACTGCAACTTCGTCTAAATTAATTAGTTTTCCCTTAGGGACTATCTTCCTAAATACTCTTCATTATATATTCAGGTGGTTGTATTTTTGCATTTCTGTCCTGTCTCTGATCTCTTACTACAGTCTGAACAAGTGTCCGAGGCCGAGTTACTCCCACAGCTGAACAGAGCCCCGTCACAGACTGCAGAAAGTAGTCCAGCTAAGAAGGTAAGGCCAGCACGAGAGTGTGTTATGATGCCATGGTGAGTCTCACCCCTGGGCTTCTTGCCTCTCTTAGCAGATCTATAGTTTTAAAGTTTCCATGTCCTGGAATGAATGTTAATGATCCAGATTTCCTGGAATGTGGGTTCTTTGTGAAGATTAGGGTCCTGAACATTCTTGGTTAGAGCCTTGATGTCACTGACAGTTTGTACTCCCCTCCTCAACCTCCCAGTTAAACATGGTGGCCTTGCTTTTGGCAAGATCAAAAAGTGCTGTTGGGAGGGACAGGTGTCTTCAGTGAAACCCCACAAACCTGCTAAGCCTCTATGCACCTCTTGGGGTGGGATAGAAGGATATGCTCCTTCTTGGTCTTTGTGTCATGGTCTCCTCTTGCATCTTGGCATAGTCACCTCTGCCCAGCCATGCTGTTGAGTCACCTGTCATTTGCTCAGTAAGCACCACTCACTTATCCTATTCTCCATTCATCTCCTCACCCTCTTCTTGCCCTTTCCCAGCCTCTTCTAGACCCTTCTCCCATCAAAGAGAGTGGGCCTTAGGCTCTTTTGCTTGACTTCATGTAGGAACTGGAGATAGGAGAATGATAAGCATGTGACTGAGACCTTTACAAACTTCAAAACTTATATTCCAGAAATCTCCAAAGTGAGGCAGGGTCCTATTTTGTCTTCAGCTAGAAAAGACCCTGTGGTGTGAGATGCACACAGGGGCTATGTGACTTTAAATGACAAGAAGAAGTAATAGATTGCTTGAAACATTATTTTAAAAAGAAGAAAGTGAAGGTTACTGGAATCTGATTCCTGCATCCTTCCAGATGACAAAAAGAGGTAATAGGCTGCAAGCATTTAGGAAAAGAAAGAAAGAAAGACTGCTGGAATCCCATGCCTGTGTCCTTCCAGTTTGTGTCGAGCCACGAATCAGTGAATAGAGCACCTGCCTGATCTTGGGGATGGGGCTAGAGGAATGTAGGGCACTAGCATGATGGGTGGGGGGAGCATTGAAGTCTTTAACTTTTTGTTTTTTTGTTTTGTTTTTGATCTACAGGACACACCATATTCTCAGCCCCCATCAAAGCCCATTCGTAGGAAACTGAGACCTGAAAATCAAACTACGGAAAACCAAGAGCCTCCAACCACTGTGAGCGGGCCAGCTCCTGTAGCAACCGTGAAACCACATCCAACAGTTCAAAAGTAAGTAGTATAGATAAGTGAGAACAAGGTCAGAAACTTCCTTTAAATTTGCATATATATGTATATGTAAATGTGCTTACATTTTTACTTATACCCATAGAAGGATTTTATGGTTGTCTTACCTTAAAGTTGGTTGCCTTTGAAGCCACAGTCCCACTCTGAATCTCTGCAGCTCTCTTCTTCTTCAGATGATTTTTTTTTCAAATGGACAGTTCCTTGGTGGCATCAGTCCATAAAGGCAGTATAATTTGCCCTTCTTGTTCACTGAGAGTTTTGACCATCTTCCAGCCACCCTTAAGCCCAGGGGATGGATTCCTGTTAGGAACAGATGGCTAAATTTGCTTCCATGTTCCACCCCAGCATTCCACTTTAATCTCAGCTTCATGCTAATACTAGTCAGTAGTGGCTACAGTATCCTCTAAAGTGGACGACAGGGCATCTGGTGGAGTTCACATAGAGATCTTTTCTTTTTTTTTTTTTTCAGTCAGCTTTATTAAAATATAATTGACATAGCATACAGTTCATCCTTTTCAATATACAATTCAGTGGTTTTTAGTTTATTCACAAAGTCATGCAACCATCACCACAATCTAATTTTAGAACATTTTCATCATCCTGAAAAGAATCTCTATGCCCATTAGTGGTCACTCCTCATTCTGCCCTTCCCTCGCCCCCAGCCCCTGGCAACTGCTAATCTACTGTCTGTCTCTATGGATTCACCTATTCTGGCCATTTCATGTAAATGGAATCATGCGACATGTGGTCTTTTGTGACTGGCTTTTTTTTTTGTTCGCTTCTTATAATGTTTTCAAGGTTCATTCATATTGTACATGAATCAGAACTTAATTTTTTTGTTGCTGAATAAAATCTGAAAATATCTTGAGTTTTTCTTAATTTCTAAAAGATATTTTTACTGGATGTAGAGTTCTAGGTTGGCAGATTTTTTTCTTTGGAGCTTGAAAAATGTTGTGCCTCTTTCTTCTGGCTTTCTTATTTTCTGATTAGAAGTCTGTTGTCATTTGAATTGTTTTCCCCATAGCTAAGGTATCATTTCTCTTTTGATGCTTTCAAGAATTTTTTCTTTGACTTAATTTCAAAAGTTGGACTATAATTTAGCCTGTTTGAGTTTTGTTCAGCTTCTTGAGTCTATATGTTTATGTGTTTTGCCAAATTTGGGGATCTTTCAGCTAATTTTCCTTCAAATGCTTTTTTAGTTCTCCCCCTTCTCTTTTTCTGCAACTCACTGAGACAAATATTGGGTCTTACAATCCTACAGGTCCTTGAGGCTTTGTTCAGTATATTCCCCAGTCTATTGTCTCTCTTTTGTTCAAATTGGATCATGTCTGTCTTCATGTTTATTGATTCTGTCCTCTCCATTCTGCTATTGAACTTATTCATTGAGTTTTTATTTCAGTTATTGTCTTTTTCCATTCTAAAATTTCCACTTGGTTCCTCTTTATATATTCTATTTTTTTGGCTGATATTTTCTATTTTTTCATTTGTTTTAAATGTGCTTGTAATTGTCCATTGAAGCATTTATATAATGGCTGAATTAAAATCCTGGTTAGATCCTCCCACATCTGTGTCCTGTAGTTATTGGCATCTGTTGATTGTCTCTTCTCATTCAAGTTGAGATTGCCTTTGTATGAAGAGTGATTTATTTTAATTGTATCCTGGATATTTTGGATACTATGTTATGAATCTCTGGATATTATTTAAATCTTCTGTTTTAGCATGTCTCCTCTGACAATTCATCAGTGGGGAAAGAAGGGTGCCACCTTGTTTCTGCCACGTGGGGATGGAAGTCCAGTTTCTGAACTTGGCCTCTGCTTATACCCTTAGGGATAGAAGAATGTCTCATTACTGTTGAATGGGGGTGGTAGTTCAGGCTCCCCTATAAGCCTTCAATGACACCAGCCTGGCTGGGAGATGGAGAAATGTTTGGTTATAGCTCCTCATGAACATAGTGAGAAGAGACCTCTTTTCCACTGGAAGGTAGTGAAAGTCCTGGCTTCCTATTTGGCATTCTCTGATACCACCCCAGTGGGAATGGCATGCCTCATAAGGGGTGAGGTGTAGGCTTCTCACTTGGCCTTGGCTGATGAGCATGGTGTTGGGGGCTGCAATTTTTTGTGCTATTTGGGTATAGTAGGGTAGTTATTATCTAAAATTTTTCTGTATTTCATAGTTCCTCTCTTCCAGGTCCTTTGGCTAAAGACAGCAGAATTGAGGGGTGGGGGTGCTTTTGTTTTCGGTCTGTCCTTATTGCCATTTACAGATTGCTGACTTCTCCAATGTCTAGTCTGGGATATATGAAGCAAAAGAAAACCCAGCAAATTTACTGCCATGTGTTTCCCCAGGTATCACGTTCCCTAGCTGGTTTGCCTCCTTTAGTTCATCTTTCAGAGTTGTCTTATGTTTGTTTCATATATTATGTACCGATTTTACTGTGCTTAGTGGGAGGAATAGAGATAATGTTTCTACTCCATCTTGTCCTGGAAGAAATCCAACCTATGTATTTTAAAAGCAGATGAAGTCTCTTCCCTGACTCTGTATGAATGAAAAAATTAATCTTTGACTTTGAACTCGCTGGGGAAGAGATTATGTGTTCTGCAGATTAGCAGAATGGCTAGCATAGCGTATATTCTCATTAAATGTTAATCAAATCTTTACAGTGGTCACAATCCATTCTAGTTCTGTTGCTCTAGCCTTGAACCCACCTCCCAGTGATTGCAAATATGGTTGTTTTTCTTGGAGAATGTAAATCACTCTTTTGCTCTATGAATTCAGAATTTCTTGCTATGGGATAAAAGGTTGTAGGTTATACCTGTGGTAACCACGTTGATTGATCACCCCAACCATGGACAGTTTTGAAAGGTGAAGAGGATGCTAACAATACATATGGCCAGCCAGACAGTGTAAATAGACTGTAATGGGCAAAGTAGGACACATGGTCATCCTCATCATACTTGTTCTGTTACTTAAGACATTCTGGAATTTTCTCAAGTGCCACAGGTGTATGGTGGTGTATGCACATGCGCACACACATACTTAGGCATTCGTGTCTAATAATAAGGGAGAGTTAGCTCAGCTAGCTATGTTAATGTAGAATTCTTGCTAAAGAGAATGTTCTTCTTTTTCTTTCTTTTTTTAAAAATAGAGGTAATCAAGTTAAAGGGAAAATATTCTTCTTTTCCTTCAGACTTGTCCACAGGGGCCACCTGCAGGTTTTTTAAATGCTATTAATTCTTACACAAAAAGAGCTTGCCAGTTAACATGGTTTGTCAGGAAGAAATACCTATCACAATGTCTTGGAATAAATGGAACACAAATGTTTGAAAAGGCACAATTCACAGCTTTTATGCAACTTATAAAATGGGAATTACTTCAGGTATAAATAATTCATCTCGACAAATTTGTTTCATTTTGTGTTTATCTGCCTGCCTATGAATATAAGATTTTATTTTTGGAGCCTCTGTGATGTTAACCCCTTCTTAGTTCAGCACCTGTCTTGAGTCAGAGTTCTGACCCGCAAAGGTCCAGACCTCCAACTCCTTTTTTTTTTTGAATGAAATGTTTGTGCTTTTCTATAGGCAATCTTCCAAACAGAAGAAGGCCATTCAGACTGCCATCCGCAAAAATAAAGAGGCGAATGCAGTGCTGGCCCGCTTGAACAGTGAACTCCAGCAGCAGCTCAAGGTAAGGAACGCTTCCTAGATTTGGATTCCCAGGCTTTTCCCTGTTTTTCTTTGTTGTTGATGTTTGTTTGTTTTGAGGGGGGGGGGGAGTTTGAAAGGTTTTTATTTTATGTACTTGATATATAATAATTGTATGTATTCATGGGGTACATAGTGGTATTTTGATATATGTAGTGTATAGTGATTAGATTTGACCATTAGCTTACCATCTACTTCCATCCCTGTTGGTAAGACTTGTCTCTTTGTTCTCAAACCCTTTTTGGAAGGTGAATAATTACTGTATTTAAGTTACATGGGTTTGACTCTTGCACTCTTAGAGGAAGACTAGTAACTTCAGTATGTAGGCTGCCTCTTGTATGTGAGTTAAAAGGAAAGAGAATCTATTACAAAGGCTATTTGAAGCATTTTTTATTGTCTAAAGCTTCTGGGTAAGCCCTTAATTGTTTAGATCCTCTCTGAAAGATGCTAGACTTATTTCAGTGGAAGGAAGTGGCTCCAGTACCATCAAAGGCCAACCCCTCCCCTGGTACCTTGGAGATGGTTCCATCTCACCTTCTCAAGGACATCACCTCCATCCTTATCACTTGTATCTCTTCATTATTGATCTCCCCTGTATTAGTTTCTCAGGGCTGCCATAACAAAGTACTACAAATTTGGCGGCTTAAAATAATAGAAATGTATTCTCTCACAGCTCTGGAGGCTAGAACTCTGCAATCAAGGTGTCAGCAGAGCCATGCTCTCTTTGAAGGTCCTAGGGGAGAATTCTTCCTTACCTCTTCCCAGCTTCTGGTAGTTGCTGGCAATCCTTGGCATTCTGTGGTTTATAGTTGCATCACTCCAATCTCTGCCTCCACTGTCACATGACATTCTTCCCATGTCTCTCTGTGTCTGTGTCCAAATTCCTCTCCTTATTCTGTCCTCTCTTACAAGAATATCAGTCATTGGATTAGGGCCCACCCTAATCTAGCATGACCTCATCTTAACTTGATTACGTCTGCGAAGACCCTATTTGTATCTAAGGTCACATTTACAGGTACTGGGAGTTAGGACTTGAACTCTTTTGAGAGGATACAATTCTACCCACTGCATTCCCTGATTCTCTACTGGATCATTCGCCATCACACATAATCATGTTCTTGTATTGTTTATTGCCTTTGACCAATTACTGCCCCATTTCTGTGGTTCTCTTTACAGCAAACTTTCTCAGGAGTTGTTTTCATTCACTGTCTTTAGTTCCTGAATAGTTTTCTCTACCTTCCATTTCAGTGTGGCTTCACTCTTTTCCACTCACATTCTCTAATGGCTAAATCCAATGGACCTGTTTTAATATTATTAGAATTTCCAGAAGAATTCTATGCAATTGGTCATTCCCTCCTCTGAAATTGTTTTTCTAACTGGCTTTTTAGATATCATGCTTTTCTGGTTTTCCTTCTACTTAGCTGGTAAATTCCTCTTTAGTATTCTCTGCTGTCTCTTCCTTCCCTGACTTCTCTTTTATACCCCCAGCCCCTTTGCTCTAATATTTTATTATGAACATTTTCTAACATACAGGAAAGTTGAAAGAATCATGCAATGACTACTTGTATGGACACCACTTCAGTTCTACCACTAACGTTTTACTACACTTTACTTGTTTTATCACATATCTATCCATTTATCTATCCTGTCCATCAGTCCATCTTATTTATGACATATTTTTAAGTAAATTGCAGACACCTATACACTTTCCCTAAATATTTCAGCATGCATATCATTAGCTGGAGTTCAATATTTTTACAGGTTTTTCTTATGATGTAAAATTTACATACAATGAATGCACAAATATTAAATGTATATTTGCGAGTTTGTGACAAATGCCTATATTTATGGAATCCAAACCTCTATCAAGATAAAGAACATTACCATCACCCCAGGAAGCTCCCTCATGCTTTCTCCCAGTCAATTCCTACTACCTACATGAAGGCAACCACTATTCTAAATTTTTTATGCCATAATTTTGCCTGTTCTGTAACTTTATGTAAATGGTATCCTATAGCATTTACATTTGTGTAAAGTTTCTTTCACTTGGTATTATGTCTTTGAGATTCATTTATATTGTTGTTTGTATCAGTAATTCATTCATTTTTATTTTTCAGTAGTATTGAGTGAATATGTCACAATTTGGTTATCAATTTTGTTGATGGACACCTGAGCTATTTCCAGTTTTTGACAATTTTGAATAAAACTGCATTCTTGAACAAGTCTTTGTGTGGAAATATACTCTTATTTCTTTTGGAGAAATACCTAAGGTTAGGATTAGTAGATCATATGATAATTACATGTGTTAGTTTATAAGAAGCTACTAGACCTTTTTCCAAAGTGATTGTAGCATTTTGCACTCCCACCACTTATGTACAGGAGTTCCAGTTGTTCCACATCTTCACCAACATTTGGTTATTATTCTTTTAAATTTTAGCCAGTCCTGTGGTGATATAGTTTTTATCATCATCTTGTCGGTCACTAATTACATTGATCCTTTTCTTTGTGATTATTTACCTTTCATATGTCTCATTATATAAAGTATCTTTTCAAATGTTTGGGCCAGTTTTTAGATAGAGTTCTTAGCCTTTGTTTTGGTTTTAATTGTAGGTAGATGCTTTTTGTATATCTTGGTTACCAGTCATTTGTCAGATATATGTTTTGTGAATGTTTTCTTCCAGTCTCTGTTTTGCATATTTGTTTTCTTAACTGTATCTTTTCATGAGCATAAGTTTTCAATTTTGTTAAAGTCCAAATTTATCATTTTTTTCTTTTGTGGTTATTACTTTATTCCTATATATGGAAACTTTGCCTATCTCCAAATCATGAAGATATTCTCTTATGTTTTCTAAAAGCTTTATTGTTTTAACTTTATGTTTAGGATTATGATCCACCTTGAATTAATTTTTGTATATGATGCAAGGTTAGGGTCAAGGCTCATTTTTTCCCATTTTAATATCTAGTTGATCTAGCAACAAATGTTGAAAACAAATGTTGAAAAGACCTTCCTTTCCTCCTTGGATTACTTTGGTGTTCTTGTCAAAAATCTAATGACTGTGTAAGTGTAGGTTTATTTCTGGGTTCTTATTCTGTTCCATTAATCTATTTGTTGATCCTTATGCCAATACCACACAGTCTTATTACTGTTGCCGTATACTAAGTATTGAAATCAGGTAACATAAATTTTTCAACCTATTCTTCTTTTTTAAGATTCCATTGGGTATTTTAGTCTCTTTGTTTCATATACATTTTAGAATTGGTGTGTCAATTTCTACAAAATTAGCCTGCTGGGATTATGATTGGATTTGCGTTAAATCTTAGATTAATTTAGGGAGAATCTATATCTAAATAATGTCGAGTCTGCCAATCTGCAAGTAGAGCATATCCCTACAATTATTAAGGTCTTCTAAAATTCCCCTCTGCAATTTTGAGTTTTGAGTTTTGACTATATAAGTCTTACATATCTTTTGTTAAATTTATTCCCAAATGGTTTTTTCATGACATTATTGCAAATTAAGTTGTTTTTTAAAATTTCATTTTCTAATTTAGTGTATGAAGGTCACAGAATATAAGGTCAACACACACAAAATCAGTCATAATCCTGTATACAAGCAATGAACTATAATAGAATTTTTGATAATTGGTAATAGAATTTTTTTTAAAATGCAATTTTTTAGCATTGGGGGAGGGGACAATAGCTTGTCCCCTCCCTCAAATGAAATACTTAGGTATAAATCTATCAACACACAGGATTCATGTGCTGAAAGCTAGAAAATGTTGCCAAAAGAAATATAAGAAGACCTAAATAAATGGAGAGACATACTCTATTTGTGGCTTTGGAGGATTCAACATAGTAGAGGTTTCATTTTTCTCCAAAGTAATGTATAGATTCATTGCAATACTGATAAAAATCCCAGCAGGATTTTTTGTGGGTCTAGACAAACTGATCCAAAACTTTGTATGTAAGGGCAGAGGAGCTGGAATTGCTAAAACAAATTGAAAAGGAGAAACAAGTTGGAGGAATCACTTTACTATCAAGCTTCACTAATGAAGACAGTATGGTATTGGAGGGACTGATGCAAAAATCAATGGAACAGGATACAGAGTCCTGAAATAGACCACATTACTGCAGCCATTTGATCTTTGGCAAAGGTTCAAAATCAATTCAGTGAGAAAGGATAGTCTTTCAACAAATTATTTTATAATAATTGGTCATCCACATGTTAAAAAATGTGCCTTGACCTCACACCTTATGCAAAGATTAATTTGAAATGGGTCATAGATATAAATGTAAAACATAAAGCTATAAACCTTTTAGAAGAAAAAATAGGGAGAAAAATCTTCATGACCTGGGGTTATAAATAACACCAATAGCACAATCTATACCAGAAAAAAACTCAATAAATTGGACCTCATCAAAATTAAAAACTTTTACTTCGCCAAAGACACTGTTAATAGAATTAAAGGACAAGCTACAGACTGGGAGAAAATATTTGCAAACCACATATTTGACAAAGGACTTGTATCTTGATTATATAAAGAATACCAAAAACTCAATAATAAGAACTCGCAAAATTCAAACATCTCAATTTAAACCTGGCCAAAGGACTTGAATAGACACTTCAAAGAGTACATAAGGATGGCAAATAAACACACGAGAAGATACTCAACATCATTAGCTATCAGGGAAATGCAAGTTTGAACCATGATTACATACCACTACACACTCATTAGAATTGCTAAAACAAAAACTAGTGACACCACCAAGTGCTGGCAACTGGAACTCTCACGCATTGGTTGTGGGAACGCAAAATGATACCACCACTCTGAAAAATTGTTTGGCAGTATCTTTGAAGTTATGCATGCATTCATCATGTGACCTGGCAGTCCCAATCCTGGGTGTCTACCTTAGTGAAATGAAAAGTTATGTTCACTCAAAAAATCTGTACATGAACATTCATGGCAGTTTTATTTATGATAGCCCAAACCTGGAAACAACAGAAATGTCCTTCAAAGAATGTATGGATAAAGTGAGGTACGTTCATATAATGGAATGGTACTCAGTAGTAAAAAGGAATGATACACACAGCAACTTGGATGAAACTCAGACATTATGCTAAGTGAGACAAGCCAGTGTCCAAAGGTTGTGTACCATATGATTCCTTCTATTTGACATTCTTGAAAAGGAAAAACTATAGTGATGGAAACAAATCGGTCGTTGTCAAGGGATATATGTGAGGTGAGAGTCAATTTCACCCTATGATAATTTTTAAAATAAAATTATTTTTGACAATGTCCGAATTCATTCTGTTTTATGAATCTTTGTGGGTGACCTTGTTTTTGTTTTGTGTTTTGTTTGGGTTTGTTTTCTCTCTCCTCTCCCTCTGCTTTGGGGTAGGTCAGTTTCATCCATTGTTTTCTATACTTTGTGAGCCCTTTTAATTTGGAAACCCATATTCTTCAGTTCTGAGAGTTTTCTTGATTTTTGTTGTTGTTGATTATTTCCTACCCCTTACCCTCTGCCCCTATTTTTTCCTATTCTCCCTTGCTGACATTATTCAGACATTGGACCTCTAATTTTCTTTTCTGTTTTCTTTCTTTTTTCTTCCTACTTTCTTTATTTTTGTCTATTTCTGGAGACTTACTTCATTTTAAATTCTAAATCTCCTATTGTTTAATAATCAAGAATTCTTTTTTTTTGCTGTTCTCTGGTGGTTTAATTTTGATGATGTCCTATTCTTGTTTCATTGTTGTAATGTCTTAATGGTAGTTTTTTTCTTCCTGAATATTGGCTTTTTTTCCTCTTAGATGCTTTCCTTCAATACCTGATAGCCCTTCTTTGCTCATATTTAAGAAGAGTATGAAAACACTGATTGGAAGTTAATAGCACATTGGAGGGGCTTGTCAACTTTGAGCTTCACTCTCCGGCAGTCTGGCTGAGCTGTATAGTTGGGGAACCCTGAAAGGCAGTATCATTGACTTTTTCCTGTTTGGAGTAGCCGGAGGAGACTCTTTTGGTCACCTGTGTGGAGGGAAAGAGCTGGTTGACTGGAGCCATAAGGCCATGGGTCTCAGCCTCCAGGATATACATTTACTTTCCCTATTTCCAGCCCAGTATCTTGTCCATAGCTGTGCTTGCAAATCCAGATGCTGTTTTACCTTTTTAAGAAATAAATGTTTAGCATTCTGCTCTGGTGGCAGGGAAGATCTGGACATCTTATTGTTTCTGAAACAGATTTTCAACCAACCCTATTTATCCAGTGCCCCATCCCTTATTCACTCTCACTTTCATAGGTATCTGGTGCTGCCAATTTGAGTCTTCTGGGGGTTCTCCTATGGAAAATCAGATCAGTTCTTGGTTTTTTTTTTTCATGTTTAGCTAGTGATTCAGTTTTCTTTACTTGATCTGTGTTGAGTGGGAAAGTTTTAGGTCTAGTGAACAGAAGTCTGAACAATCATTGAAACAAAACTCTAGTCATAGCCCCTCAATTAATACCCAGACTAAGCCAGTTTACAGATCCAAAACCTTTTGAGTGAAGGGGCATCTGGGTCTCCTTAAGGAAGGGCTCCACTATGCTGCCAAAAAGTTATACTGTAAATCATCTAACTTTTCTCAAAGGGGCCTGTGGCCATTTACCAGGGTGACTGTGCATTGGGGGAAGGGAAATAATCAGACCTTTGGGGGATTCCTGGACACTGGCTCAGAACAGACACTAATTCCATGAGATGCAAAGTGTCACTGTGGCCCACCAGAGTAGAGGCTTATGGAGGTAGGGTAATAATAGAGTTTTAACTTAGGTACATTTCACAGTGGGCCCAGTGTATTCACAGACCCACCCTGTGGTTTCCCTTGCTGTAGAATGCATACTTGAAATAGACATACTAAGCAGTTGGCAGAATCCCCACATTTATTTTCCTGGATTTGCTAAGTCATTTATCATTCATCAGTTTGCCTTTCAGCTTACGAATTTTATTGTTATCATCTTTTCCCTTTTGTTTTCCCTGTCTTGTGGGTCTGTGACTTTGAAGTTTCTTTATTGTTTTTGTGGAGCTCTAGGAGGGAGTATGGCACCTATGGTCAATCTTCCATCTTTCCCTGAAACCTGTAGATATACTGTTTTACTTGATGTTGTTATATGGTCCCATGGCTTTGAAGACCACAAGATCCACAAGCTAGTGAAACCGAAATTTACATCTCAAGCCCTACTTCTCTTTCCTCTGAGCTCTAAACATGTACACATAGCTCTTTACTCAGTGTTTTCTCCTTACATATTTAATATAACATCTCAGATAATTAATTCCCAACCCTCTCCTTGAAATACCCATTTCTTATCTAATCATCTTGTTCTCAATGAATATCACTACCAGCCACCCATTTTCTTAATCCCCAAATCCCAGAAGTCATCCTCAAGTTTTCCTTTTCTCCTACTTCAACTTCATCAGTAAGTCCTATCAGTTCTAGATTCAAAATATATCCAGAATTCATCCACTTCTCTTCATCTCTATGGCTACTACCCTGATTGGAGCCATTTTTATTTCTAAACTGGGTCCATGCAATAACCTTCCAGTTGCTCCCCTGCTCCCACTCTTGCCCTGCTATAAACCACTGTCTACATAGTAGCCAGAATGAAAATTTTGAGTTATAAATTGGCTCATGTTCCTTCCATGGTTAGAAGCCCTCAATTCCATCCTCCCTATACTTTGAAGTCCACAGTCCTTCCTCTGCCCCACAAGGCTATCTATGACCTGGCTCCTGCCTAAATCTCTGACTTCATCCTCCCATGTCTTCCTTGCTCCCTCTGGTCAATTGGGCCTTTCTGTTCATCAAATCCACCAAGCTTATTCCCTCCCTTGGGGGCTTTGCGGTTGCCATGTTGTCTCCCTGAATAGCCTTCCCCCATATTTTCATATTGCTCACTCCACACTTCATTCAAGTCTCTACTCAAGCAGCATCGCCTTGGAAAGACGTCCCCGATCACACTCTGTTTTCTCCCAGATTCCCCTCTGTTATTCTCTATGACATCATCTTATTTATTTCCTTCTGGAAGTATCTTATTCAGTAACTTTATTATCTTTCCCTAGCCATTTGACTATAAGCCATATGAGGGCATTGGTCAGATCTGTCTCGTTCTTTGCTGATACCATCACAGCTAGAGCAGTATCTGGCCCACAGTGGATAGATACTCAAGGACATGGATGGGTGGACAGGAAGGTGGGTGAATAAATACTTGTTGAGTTCCATACTGACTATTAGCATGTTGGTTCTTCTGGAGCATCTCAGAATTGAGCCTTTATACAGAATTCTTTCCCACCTTGACTGATTCTACTTGAATGCCTTTATGTGTCCCCTCTCTCCCTGACAAAAAATCTGCTTTAGGCCTGAAAGTTTGAATTCCCAAATAGCAGATTGTTCATCTCCCTTTCTGCCTTTCACTCAGATGTCATACCTTATGCCACATTTTGTGCAGGAACCTGGATGGGACTTTGGTGGAGAGATGACCAGTGTACCTTTTCATCCCTCAGACCTGACTGAGTATGGTGCTGGATTAGACGCCAGAGATTGACACTAGAAATTTAGTCCTGATGGTTCACACCTCAGTATTGGGAGTCTGCTTTTGCTTTCTGCCCTCTCCCAATCAGTCTTTTAATTTTTAATGTCACTCTCTGTCAGCTACTAATCCTATTAGAACAGGATGAGGCTAAGGCAGAGCAGTGGAGAGGGGTCGGTCAGTTTCATTTCATGATCTTCAGAAAATAGTTGAGAGATTATAAATTGTGAAGCCCCCTCCCACCTTGTCTGGTCACTAGCTTTAATTCTGGTGCCTTCCAGTCCTCCTGTTCTTCAGTTATATAGCATAGCATTTAAGTGTTTGTGGGTCCAGTTATGTTTCCTTTTAATATCTGATGAAGTAGGGATGAACCCAGGAAATGACCCCTTTCTTTTTTTGTTTTTCTTTCTGTGTTGTACGACTCAGGAGGTTCATCAAGAACGGATTGCATTGGAAAACCAATTGGAACAACTTCGTCCAGTCACTGTGTTGTGACCGCCATGGTTCAAGTGACAGTGAATGACCTCATCTGCCAAGATCTTTCTTTCTTGTTTGAATGTTTGAACCCCACTACTTGTCATAGATATTTGTGTCAAAAGCTGTGAGCAGCAGAATATAATCCATATGACCTTTTCTCTTTAACTCACTTGTACATTTTACTGTGGTGGAAAATACTTCAACTGATTATCACACTTGACTTTGTAATTATCAGTGGAATTACTCTCCCATTCTTAAGTAGTTCCTCAAGGTGTTAGATACTGCTCCTTACCAAAAATCAGTCTTCTAGCAAATAAAAGTAATTTAGAGCATTATTTATTTAAAGAATTTATGATTTGTACAAAACCTTATAACAAAGTACCTTCAGGATGCTTGTTTTATTTTTGTATGTATATCACATACAGTAGGTTGGTTTCCTGAATAATTAGGATTCCAACTGGATTATCTTTGGCATGATGATAATAAAAACAAAAGCTAAAATAGAATAAAAGCATCAGATTTAGACTGGCGCTGTGCCCTCCACCACTATATGCCAAAAATTGCTTCTCTAGTGCCATTTTGATATTATATCTAGCTATAAATAATACATGACTATTGTTTTCTATTGAATGTCAAAGACTTATTGGGTCTTTACACTTCTGTAAAGTGGAGGTTTTGGCAATGAGCTATTTAACTTGGCCAGTCTAGGCCGTCAACCCAGATAACTCAGTCCCTTCATGTACATTTTTGGGCGAAAGCAATCTGCTTTAACTGCCTCACCCGATCAAATTAAATAAATAGTTGCCGGGTCTCTACTTTTATCCTGCATGGGATAACATATCTGTAAATACATGAGTTTGGAAACCACCCATCAAATATGAAAGTCTGATGAGACTGCTTGGATTGCTAAACATTTGATTTTTGAACCCAGGTACCCAAACTGGGGAAGAAAGGGAAATGATTGCTACCTATAATCTAACAATCTCTGGTAGCTATTTTCATCAACCTGGATTGCAAATGTATTGGCTATGAAGAAATAATGAAAAGAAGCAGTCCTCATGCTATATATATATATATATGACTGTTTTGTTCCCTATGCAGTGTTATCCTTGGGAAGTGATTGGTTTATATCAAGTTCAGAGGAGCCCAACTAACTCCAGTATAGCTGATGTAAAACAATAAGCTCAAATTGCAAAAGCCAGTAACCTATAGAAATTATAGTAGCTGTTGCTTCTCTGAAAGCTCAAATTGAAAGTGGGAACACAGGGTCACAGGGTGAGAAGGCATGCCAGCTTTAACATCACTTTGAGAGAGACTAATGGCAAGAAATGCTATCTCTCATGCATTTTGCTCATTTCCCTATTCTTAGGATAATGGGGTAGGGTGTGCCTAGGGTCCTTTTTGAAGTTTTAGATAGGTTTGCAATATGCGGGATTAAGCCTTTGATTTTAATAGAGCTGAGAGCTTTCAGAAGAAGTAGGCATTTATTTAATGCTTCCTTATTCCATTGGCAAGCTTTATCAATAGCTTAACAGCAGAGCAGAAAGGCTCAAACAGATGATGTTTTTCCAGAGAAAAACAAATTGTGAATCTATTCCATGCATGTTTAAGGATTTTGAATTGCTTTTGAAAATCATGAAACTTGAACTATTTCTCTATTTCCTTTTTTCTTCCCTTTTGGGTGCCTTTTTTGTTCTTGTGGGGGAAGGGTTGGGAGTGGGTTTAAACCCTTCCTAAGATTATAAATGGGTCAGTGCAGATTTTTAGGTAATGTCTTTCCCCATCTTCTGAGATCTGGGGGCTGCAACACATTTTATCAGCAGTGTTCTTATTGCAGACATTTCACAGCATGTTTGGCTTTCCAGGAAAGACTAGCATATGCACTTTATCTCATAATCTTCCAGTACATATGCACTCACTTGGGATAGCATTTCATATCCATTAACCAGACGTATAAACTAAGGAATGTTAGTCTACACTGTGCATTTTAAAAATATTGACATGCTTTTTTTGCCCCGTGAAGTCAATGCCAGAGTGAGTCAAATTAGGATGTTGGGGTTTTGTTTAGTTGGCTTGGTTTTCATTAAAGGAAAACACTTGCATTGGACAATCAAAGTCCCCTGAGTTTCATAGTCTTACCAATATTTTATGATAGGCATTGCATTAAAGCACACACCAATACTATCTACACCCAACCTTCTTGACTGGACTTAATTGTAACTATAGTTTAGTAGTTGCTTAGAATTAGAGTTGTTAAAAAACAAGTATTTGTGTGTGTGTGTGTGTGTGTACATACATATACAACTATTATTATTACCTAACTAGTGCTCATCCTTTATTTCTCTGTTGTCTTAGGATGTGCACTTTTAATTTAGGATTATAATGCCTAATGATGTTTCTGTGAGCCTTTAATGTGATTTATAGGAAGCCTGGGTTATTGAAATCACCATCATACCTCTTCTATAAAACAACTCCAAAATGAGACCTGCTTGTTGGGGAGAACTCTGTAGACAGAAGGTCAATGTTGCCCCATCCATGGGGGTTGAATTACCTTCTTGTTAAGTGGTCTTCCCCCACTGGGATTCTACAGTCCCACAGATGAAAGCATAGTAGGAGCTGATAGTGGGCTTCTGGAGTCCCTCAGCATCTCTTGTATGTGGCATATTGCTCTTGCCACCTTCCTATCCAGCAGACGTTGAAGCAAAACCAAAAGGTAGATATCTGGAATGAATGTGTATGTTATAATCGAGGCAGATATTTGCCTTAGTTGGAAGCATCTAATTGTTTTACAAATATTAAACAAGTGCTTGGGCCTGACTGGGAGAGGAGGCAGCTTAGCTGGAAGCTGTGCTCATCTTACTACCACTGGAGAATAAGATATCAGAGTTGGGCAGGGTATCCATCTCCTGAAGTTTGCATGTGGGGAAACCAATGCCCTATATGAAATAGCAGCTCCTGGCCCAAGAATCCACAGAAAGAGGTAGCTAGTGGCAGCTTTGGGGTCCCAACCTGATTTTATGGATTCTGAGTTAGGTCTCCCACCCTCTATCACTACTAAAAATAGATTAGAAAGCTTTTTTCTATTTGTTGTGAGTTTCATTGACTTAATTAGTCTTTAAATGTGAAAACATGTTCTAAGGAGTTTAGATCTAGAAATTCCTCTTGGATTGAAGTGAAAAATAAAATCTGAAGGAAAAGAATATGATTGAACTATTTGTTCTTCTGAACCACCTCACCTTTCATGGTGCAATAAATTGCTCTGAGTTTCTTGGCAGAACTTTTGACAGCTGTTGCTTTCAATGGATTCCATTCCTGTATTCCTTATGGGAGTTTGTTTTTAAAATAGACTACCGTGATTGAAACAAACTCAATATGTAGTAAGTTATAGTTTTCTTCAATATAGCTTTGGTTACTTGGGTTGCAAATGTTTAATTTCAGCATTTTTTAGGGTGAGTAATCAAAAACATGAATTTTCCTTTGATTTCTTACCAATGTCTGAACTATCATAAAGCATTCTCTTTAGATGTGATTTGATTCTATAGTGTGTTTCTAAATGATATTTCTCTGTTTCTTAAATGATCTCACAGCCATGGTAATAATAGCTATGTACTCAGAAGATCAATCAGGTAATATCTGGAATTGATGTGTTTTTTGCAATGAAGGCAAGCATTTGCAAATATCTTCTTTTAAGCAGTAGTTGGAAAGATCTCAATTACAGTATAACACCTTAGAGCTAAAAGCATTTGTTCAATACAAACTAGAATCACACCTTCTGACTAGGTATCACCAAGGGAATGTGATTTTTAAAGTATAAAAAAAGAATTTAATATAACAACCAGATTCTCCCATATTATTGACAAGTTGGGCTTGTTAGGTTGCGGTTTGAACATTATGAATGTGAACAAAATGAAATAGCAGTTAAGAGGTCTTTTCCCCCTCTATTTCAATAGAACACTAGTAACTTTGGCTTCTCTTTCTAACTGGTTTACTCTGTTTCAAGTGTGTTCTTTTAAAACTCTGATTTCAAAGGATCAGTTGAACTTATATTTTTGTTATGGATGTTTTGTTAGGGTTTTTTGCATCATGACTCAGTGTGGTTCAAATTCCTAGTAAGAAGTGGGGATTTGGGTTTTGGGAGTCCTCAGCCGGCATGTCTTGCTCCTCCCTTGGCATAGTATCACTCTGTGAGCCACCCTGCTTTGCTTGTTTTTAAGGAGAAATGCATCTGGTTATGTGACTCTCCCAAGAACAGCAGACTTGGAGGGCCAGACTTTAAAAGCAAGCAGATTCTAAGAGCTGCTACCCTCCCCCCAAAATAGGCTTTTGGAGGCTGCCTTACTTACACACATGCCCTGAAGCAGCCAGTCTTTAGTGGGAGCAAGACATCGCAGGTGCACAGTTGCTTTTAGCCTTGTATAGTTATTTTCCACATTTACTACCACACATGATCATAAAGGAACCTTTTCTAAGAAGCATGCAGGGTTTCAATAGACAGGACTTATTCTAGTTACAGAAGCCTTGATCTGGTGTCAGCAATTGGGGAATGCTTGTTTTTCATGTTTTGTGAATTCTTTCTTGCTATAAGCTAATTTCATGGCTCTGGAAGGATGGAGACAGTGGGTTTATGACTCTGAAGACCAGAGGACACCAGACTTTAGGAGGGCTTAAATTGGAAGTTGGGGACTATAATAAGGATACCTTTATGTACTAGTTCCATCTGAAAGCACTCTGTTGGACAACAGGACTAGATCCTAAAGCTCCTTCAGGGAACTCTGCTTTGGGACTGGAATAGTTGATGTGATAACCCCATTGTGTGAAGATTAGATCAACTGAGGTGTGTTATTGTTGTTTTAAGTCAACTTGTACGAGAGTGTCAGCTGCAACTCTCTTGAGAACCAGGTATACCTTTTTCTTTAACACTGCCATCCTTTTTGTCTTCAGCACAAATAAAATGTTCAAGTGAGCCAGATGCGAGAAGAGCCACTTTAGTCTTCATAGCTGTTGGCCAAGAGAGATAATGAGCTGATGGTCTATTTTAACCTTGAAAGTAAAAATGTATATTTTTTCATTGTAGGTACATTGAACAGTAAAAAGTGTAACAGTAAAGTATATATTTGATGCCTTCTGTCTTTTCATGGTAATGTGCTAACAAGTTGTGTTAATATTTTACTCAGCCAGAGTCTCATTCGTTTGTTAAGCATTGGGCACATTATATATATTGACCTTAATCATACATCCCTGAAAGTGTCCTGTATTTGGATTGTGACTTGTAGACTCAAGCTAACCTTACTGCCTCTTTTTCACACTTGTCGAGAAGTCTGTGAAGAACATAGTAGGTTAAGTATCTCCAACTTTGGGAAATATACATGATGTGAAACTGGGGTGCTATGTTAAAAATAAACGTATATAACTAAGTGTGGCTTTTATGGAGTCTTGGTGTCAGTATGCTGTGGCTTTCAATTGGTCTCATATGCATTTAATGCAGGAGATGTGAAAAGGAGTTGGGGGTCTTCCCAGTTAAACCAAAGTCTGAGATTTGGTTATTTTCACCCTCTGGTGATCTGAGACAGCTCTTTAAATATTAATACCTGCACAGAGTAAACACTTGGCAATCATGGGATATCATGGCTATCTCACAGCACATTTTAAAGATCCACTGAGTTGAAAACTTGGCTTACTATGGGATCAGGTTATTTATCTTGTCAGAGTTCTTTTAGTTCAGAAATGTTCCAATGAGCTGGGCATGGTGGCTCATGCCTATAATCCCACACTTTGGGAGGCTGAAACACAAAGATTGTTTCAGGCCAGGAGTTTAAGACCAGCCTAGGCAACATACCGAGACGTTGTGTCTACACAAAAAATTAAAAATTACCAGGGACACAGTATGCACCTCTAGTCTCAGCTATTTGGGAGGCCAAGGCAGAAGGATTGCTTGAGGTCAGGAATTTGAAGTTGCACTGAGCTATGATGATACTACTGCACTTCATCCCAGGCAACAGAGCAAGACCCTTTCTCTACAAAACAAAATGTTGCAATCCTGATGTCTTTAGCTAGAGTGGAGGTGATAGGGAAGGATCAGACGACTTGGCTTTAAATTCCAACCAAGTAATCTGGCACCCCAGTTAAGTTTCTTATGTATAATATTTGAATAATTTTAGCAGGCATCAGTCTCCTAATTGGGTAGGGGTTTTATTCCAGAATGCAAATGGTGGGCTGCACTTAGGATATTTCCAATGTAGTAGTTTCAAAGGACAAACCAACTGTAGAAAGATCATCAATCATTTGGCCCATAAGCTTGGACACTGGACATCACCAGGCCCTGACCTTTCCCAGGTATTGATGAGGATCAGCGGGTCATTCACTTTAATGATAAAAGAGGTAAAAGAACATTAAGGCAAGTGAACCTCAAAGTGTGGCCCCCCAGACCAGCAGTGTAAGCATCATTGGGGAAATGCAAATATTAGAAATGCAAATTAACAAGCCTGGAGTAAAAAAAAAAAAAAAAAAAATGCAAATTTTTGCCATCTCCATCCCTTTCTCCTCCCCCACCCACTGACCAACTGAATCAGGAACTCTGGGAGTGGGACCCAGCAATTCACGTGTTATCAAACCCTCCCAGTGATGCTGAATTACTGACTAGCCAATCTCATTTTATAGTCAAAGATCTGAGGTGCAGAGAGGCAAACTGCCTGATCTAGAGTCTTGGCTAATTCAAAGCAAAGGTTAATTGTGTTCCCAGGGCATGTTTTTTGCAACACTAGTGTCCATCCATGAGTTTGTTCCCTCCTCTGACCTTCCTTCCACAGATATTTAATGTATCCCTACTCTGTAACTGATCACTAAGGATCTGGAGATGAGACCAAGAAGACAGAACCCCTTCCCTCAAGGAGCCCACAGCCCAGCAGGACAGAAACCTACAAATGAATTGCCATGCAGAGTGCATGTGTTAGGGTAGGCTAACTGCTGTGACAAAGAACCCCAGGAGGTCAGTGAATCTTACCTATCCCACCATCCAGGGTGGATGTTCATAGTTGTGCCATTTTCCTTGTTCAGGGACCCAGACTCCTTCCATGTGTGGCTCCATTGTCCCCTAGGGCTAGGGAGTTTTCTCCTTTTAGCCAGTGGTTGGAGAAAATAGAGACTGGAGAAGATTCAATTACCTTTCACAGAAGTGACACACATCACTTTTATTCATATGACAACAGTTAACTACAAAGGAGACTGGAAAATGTAGTGTAGCTGTAAGCTCAGGAGGAAAAAGTTTTGGTAAGCACGATATCTGCTACAAGACATAAGTCTGGGGTGCTCTGAAGATACACAGGAGGGGCATTGAATCCAGATTGTGGGGATCTAGGAAGGCTTTGTGGAAGAGTCTTCAAAGAGGGATAGTCATTAACTAGAAAGAAGAGGACATTCCAGACAGAGAGAGTTACACGTGCAGCAAAGTAGGGTGAGAGCATGGTGTATTCTGGGAACTGCAGAGAGATTCTCCTATGGATGGAATGGATGGTATCTTAGTTCATTTTTGGTTGCTTATAACAGAATACCTGAAACTGCACAATTTATAAAGAAAAGGAATTCATTTCTTATAGTTATGGAGGCTGAGAAGTCCAAAGTCAAGAGGCCACATCTGGTGAGGATCTTCTTGCTAGTAGGGACTCTCTAGACAGTCCCAAGGCAGTGCGAGGTATCACATGGTGAGGGGGCTGAGCATGCTAGCTCAGGTCTCTCTGTCCCTCTTCTTATAAAGTCACCAGTCCCACTCCCATGATAATCCATTAATCCATGAATAGACTCATTTATTCATAAGGGCAGAGCCCTCATGACCCAATCACCTTTTATAGGCCCCACCTCTCAACACTGCCACATTGGGGATTAAGTTTCAACAAGAGTTTGGGAGGGCACAAACATTCAAACCATAGCAGATGGATATGGAACGTAGAGGGGAGGAGGTAGCAAAGGTTGGACACAAGTCTAGATGGGAAGGCCTTGTAGGGGAATCATGAGAAGGCACAAAGCACTCTGAGATTACAGCTCTTTTCATGACTTAAGAGCAAATGCATGAAGTCACTTACTTCTCTAGTATTCAAGGAGCTGTTTGTGCTCCCCCATTTTTTTCTACTCCCTAAAAAGGAAATGTTTTACTGGAAAATTTTAAGCTTCTGTTTCTAACATGGGCCAAAACTTGGTTTGATTTGTTATATATCTTCTGGCATGTGTTTGGAAAAGGACCAAAGCCCAGAATACAAGAGACTAAACTGTCATAGGTAGGAGTCCTAGTGGATGATATGAAACTTTTCCCATCCTCAACTCTTTCTTTTGGGGGAGATATCAGGGCCCCTGAGATGACTGACAGGTACAGGACTCTCTTCATCAAGATGACTATTGAAGTGCACAAATGAAGAGTTTGTAAATAAAGCTGAAATATCCCATTCCTTTTGAGCAAGAGTGCTCAATGAGTTTATCTAACACTTCTGGAAAATTCCCCAAGCCCACAGGAGAAAATGCTTCAAGTGGAGCATCTCCATGGCAAATTCCAACTTCAAAGAGCTCTGCCATATTGTTTTTCAAATATCAGATGTTCTGGAAGTGTGAACAGTAGTATTTGCAAGCATCTGAGTGGTGTTTACCTCATTGCATTTTTCTTTCAAATATAGACTGAAGAGGATCTTTATTTTTGGGCGTTAGATTATAACCCAGACATATCTTCCATTATTTGCCCTGAAATCCTCTTAGCAGATTTGGCAGAAAGAAGGAATTGGCACAAAAACTGTAAAACTTTCAAAACCGTGAGAATTCTCTAGCATCATCAGTAGACATAAATAATATATAGGCGGTCCCTGGGCTATAAATGATATACATTCCTGAGAACGTCTTTAGGTCGAATTTGAATGTAACTTGGATCCCTGATGAACAGCGCATATACGGTAATAATAATCATGATAATAACAATAATAATACTATAATGGTTCATGTGGTAATAATTATACAATGTAATACTAATATGGGGTAATAATAATACCCCATTCTATAATAATAAGTTACAGAAACTATTGTGCTCTTTCTTTTAAATTCAAACAAACTCATACAAACAGTTTAGATAGGAGATAGAAATTTCAAAAATAATATTAAAGGTTAACACTCACCTAATGTTGCATCGATGTCTTGCTTACCGGAAGGGTTGTTTTTGAGGCAGGAAGGCAGCTGACGTGAATCGGAAGGTGATGACGGAGATGGTTCTGGAGAGGGTGGAGCAGGGGCTGGAGGATCAGGGTTTGATTCTGTTGCTGGAAGAGGGAGCTCACCACAGAAGTCGGTTTCTTGAAAAAGGTGTGTAGGGTTGTCTGCACAGCCTTTTTCTTTTTTTCATCGTAATTGGCCTCGTAGCTGCTGATGTTCTCACTAACCGCACAGTAAACCTTTGTAAACCGCGCATTGTCAGGATCTGGCTCCTCAAGCTTAGCAGATCCTGCTTCAGGAAGACGAAAGGCCTCAGCTAATGCTTTTCTCCTAAACTTTCTTGGCTCTGGATCTTCTGATTCTTCGTGTTCTATCAGCTGCTTCTCTATCCACGAGACCAGCTGCTAGCTCAAAGATGCTGTGCCAGAGCACTGCTTATTCCTGCGGGTTTGTTTACATACATGAAAGAAACTACTTTCTGAATTATTTAATTATGAATTATCCTTATCGGGAGCCTTGGGAGCCCATTCGTAAGTATGGCATGCCATAATTGGTCATCCATAAACCAGAGACTGCTTGTATTTTATATACATATATATTTATATATTTAATATATATATATATATATTTAAAACTCAACAATAGCCACAGTAATTCTTTAGAACATAGACCAACAAAATGTTTTTTGGGAGTGGAGTATTTTCCGTTGACATTGTTTAGAACAGGGGTCCTCAAACTTTTTAAACAGGGGGCCAGTTCACTGCCCCTCAGACCGTTGGAGAGTGCCCCACACATTCCACACATGCGCACTGCGGGCCCAGAACGAGTCAGCTGCTAAGCAGGACAGGCAGCGGCGGCAAAAACACCCAGCGGGCTGGATAAATGTCTTGGGTGGGCCGCCTGTGGCCCGCGGGCCGTTTGAGGACACCTGGTTTAGAATTACTGGTACAAGGTGAGAATAAAGGCTGACTAACTCTTAGCTTTATTGTTTTAAAATATTCTACAGAGAAACCCCCCCTCATTCTTGTACCTGGGGTGGACCGCTCCCATCCCGCATGGCTACAGAACAGAGTGCCTGCCTTCACCCCTGCGTTACAGCTAATCAAAACTACAGGGCTGAAGGGAAGCCAAGAGGAAGAAAGATAATGCTTGGGGAACGGAATAAAGGAAAGCAAAGCAAATTAAATACAGATACTGAGAATTGTGATGCAGGTCCTTTGAAATTCAAATGAAA